AAACGGATAGATTATTCTTGAAATGGAATGCTCATAAGCTACTTAGTATATACAACAAGTTTGCAATCTTTAGAGCTCTGATAATTGCAATATTAAATTTATGAATTCTTATAATTTTCATCTGGCGACCAGGCAACACTGCTCAAGTTAGTCACACCATGGTGTCCATAAACCACGTGACCATGAACACTCTCATTCTAGGCGCCCCCATGATCGCCCAAGCTCTTCTCGTCGCGGTACGAACAAAACCGCTCAAACAGCTCGGTAAACTGTAAGCTATTCTCGCTCTCGCCCCCCGGCCGGTTGACCTTCCACCCTGCATGCACCTGCGAGATATTCCCAGACGACGGTGACCACGGCGAACTCGTCGTCGCTGGAGCTCGTCGCCAGCGGGTCGCAGTCAAAATGAACAGCTTCTAACATCTCTTGATAGCAATCACTCTCATCGCTGCTGCGATCAATGTTGAACGCTTCGACAAGGCGATCGATGCCGTAGACGTAATCGTCACGGACCGGATGCTGGAAACGTGGAAGGTAAGCGAGGAAGCTGAGGCTCGATACGCCAAGAAAGCCAAGTCTGTGAGTGCGTGCAATTAGACACCACGCTGGAGGCTGGCTACGTCATCAGCCTCCAGGTCCGCCCGGATGTGCCCCTCCGAGGGGCGCGCATATAAATCGATTTATCCACGAAATTATCGCGCCTTTTTCAAAACAAATTTAGCAGGATTATAGGAACATAAAATGGATCCTAGCAGTATAGTTATGTAATATTTTATTTTTGGCGTGTCATAACCCCTTTAAAAGTTGTAATCATATGAAAACAGGTACCTTCAAAAATATTCTGAACCACTGTAATAAAAATATATATTTTGTATTTGAAGCGTAGCACTGTCAGTTAGAAAAGAAAAAAAGCCTGAATTTTATCGGAGAGAATTATGTTGTAGGGACTCGCGTAATTGTGAAATTCTAGAAGCAAATAAACAATATTTTAATATACAAAGGGTTTCCCTACAACAGTTGCTTGTACAGGGTGTGGCTGTAAGGACTTAGACATTTTAGCACGCCTTGCGAAATTCTAACTCCAAACATACATACCCGAAATTGGGCACATAAATGTAATTTCGAAAGCTTTGCCTATTTTTTAAGATAAGATATTTTATTTATTGATATTGTCAACTCTTGCAGGGCTATTACAGGAGTGGTAATGTGCCATGAAAAGAAAATCATTAATGTACGCACAACATAAACAAAAACATCAATACATACAAACAGAAAAGAAATCATAAATTCATGGCATTTTGCCAAACCTATGCTTTCTATGTTTTTCACGAAATCACAAACTTTTGCTGATTCCTCAATGCACATATGACAGTGTCGTCTACATTCGCAAAAGCGCACATCCATGTAATTATTCTAGCCAATTTTAAGTAAACCATGAATGATTAGGAAAACCAATTTTGGCAATCACACTTCGTTCTTAACTCAAGTCAGAGGTGGTAAAATATTAAAAATAAAGCAAAAATGACAGCCATGCATTTTCTACGCCCCATACCAGATGCATGTAGTCTACACACTGGAGCTAGCTTGCTCCCAGGTGGACATTGTTCATATATTTCGTTAAAAGAAATAATTATTGCAATTATGTGGCTCATTGCCAGCTTCTGCTAAAGGGTTTTAGCGTGCAGGCGTTGATTTTTACGGTCTATTTTAGATAGAGCCTGTTGACTTCAGACACCCTATATATATCAGTGTTGCAGAGTTGCCACTCCGGAGTTGGAATGATTCCGGAATCATTCCGCATTTTTGCGACCTTGGAATGGAATGGGAATGGAATGGCGGAAACGTTGAGAGGAATGGAATGGGAATGGAATTAGATGCCTTTTGCCCGAAATGGAATGGGCCCGGTTCTTCTATTATTTTTTTTTAGTGCTTTCAGTCAGTGAACTTGAGCCAGTCAGCGAGCCAGTTTCTCAGAAATAAAATGAGCGGGCGGAAAACAGCTAACCCGCTTGGAGCTCTAACAGACTTATAGGCAAAAAATGCAATACAAAAAAGAAGCGTCAAAGCAAAGAGCAGAGGGGGAGGGGGGTGGGGCTGGCGGCGGCGCCTTTCGCGCAGGCGACGGGCTTTACTGGCGTTACACGAGAGCGAGCGAAACAAGAAACCAAGCAAAAGAAACGAAGGAATGGAGATTACACGCGAAGGCGTGGAGAATACACATGCGCACAGACTGAGATCTGGGAGCGGGGGACCAGAGCCGTGCGGGGGACGACTCATACCTCGCAGAGCTCTGATAACTCGTTGACTCGCGCGCCGCCGAAAGATGATCAGTTAGAGCGCTGTTTAGCAGGCGGCCTGTTGCCTTCCACGTTCATTCGCGCGCACTATTTTGAAGTGCAAAATCTGGGTTTGCCTTGGCATTAAAACAAAGCGAAATTCACTTTTCTCTTCTCCTCTTGCACTTTGCTTTGACGCTTGTTTTTTTTATACTGCATTTTTACTTGTAAGTCCGCCTTTTACTTGGTCTTTGTTCCGATGCTTGTTTTCTGTGTTATATGTTTTACATTCAAGTGGGTTAAGGTTACAAGCAAGCTAGCGAATTCCCGCTCAGTTCCTTTGACTTTAGTCTCTGCCTACTGTGTTTCACCTTGTGATGGACCGCTGTGGATGCTACGAGTCACCCCAGGCAATCCAGCACCGTGAGGGGGACTACAGGCACGGCGCGTTACTGCGCCCCAGGGTCATGTGACACTAAGAACAGAAGGCACTGGATTGGTTTCGATGGCTCTCTTGCTGTCTGTTGCGGTCCATCGTAAGGTAAAGTAGATTGTCGCCACCGCTCTTGTCGCGTGACCAAACTGACTAGACCTGCAAAAAGACAGTTTCATGACATGGTATATACAGTCTCTCGTGCTGTGCCGTAGAAGTTGCACTTTGTCAGAGGATGTGTTCTCTCCACTGTATATGGAGTCGCCTCCAGCAGCGTACTAGCCGTATTGCTGTGCAGGCATTTGAAGAATACAGTAATCTAGCTCATTTCTGCGCCACGCACGAACTGGACATTTTTATGGTCTCATGAAACAAACATGCTCCCTGCGTATGTCCTAGAAGACAAATGCAAAAACTTTTGCCAAAAAAATTTGTGGATTTAAGTTTTGCTGTTTGTTGCGAGCCACGTGGTCGAAAGACCAATGTTTTAAACAAGCATCGACATATCAAGGGGCTTTCTCGATGTTTGTATAGAATGTAAACAAACAGTTTGTCCCACCAGCGCTCCACTTAGCAAAAACAGTGCTTTTTTTAGGCATTTTGCATTTCATTGCAATCGTCTATGCGTTTGATAATGTCAACTTTACGGTGCTTATGCCGGCAACACAATGTAGCTGTCGAGTGCCAACTTTTACGTTTAGCAATTAGAGGAATGGAATGGAACGATTCAGCCATTCCAGGAGTGGGAATGGGCTCAGTGTCTCCATTCTTAGGAGTTGAAAGGAATTGGAATGGAATGGGGGTGCCCATTCCGCAACACTGATATATATTGTCACGAATGACAATTGATGAGGCGACGAAAACTGAAACAAACTAAATGTTTAATGGGGTGAACTTGTGCCCAAAACAGAAATAGAGAAAGGCTAGTGTCGCAGGTGTCGATAGACATGTGATAGCAGGATCGAGCGCTGGGGCGAGACTGACTTACGCTCACCATGTAGACGCATAGGCTTCTGGAACAATCGGCATGGTACATTCGGGGCATAGAAAATTGTAATCTTCATTAAGCAACAAGGTTCTCGAATTAACTAGAATGCAACATTACAGAAAAGAAAAAAGGTGTATCCACAGCCAGGCATCAAATCTCGGCCTTTAGCGTGGGAGGCAAGCACAATATCCGTTGGGCCACGGGCGCACTGCCTACTTGGCCAGCTGCACGCACGGCAATATGGCAGTGCTGTACGCTTGGTCCTTTTATGCAGGGTTATGGAAAGTGAATGCTTGTGGTGGCTAAAAAACAAGAAACAAAAACATACTTTTTGTGGGAGCACTGCTTGTGCGACAGCTCAGCTACAGACGATGCAGTCCTAGGGGACACCCTTTAAGTACAAAGGTATTATTTAACACCATTCTCGTCAACATCCTGAAAACTATTAAATGACCCAGAGTCACATCCACTAAAGGTTTAAAGATTGACGTTTTTAGATGTTGCTTCCTCTCCTCACCTCGAGTAACTCGATTAAAGCGAACAAACAAGCAATCACTGTCATCATAACGTTCCTGTATAATTTTGCAACGGCACTGGAATTGCACCACTGTTGCAACTATATCCTTTTTTCTGTTCGTACATTTCGCAACCTCGCCTGCCACTAGCCCAGTGGAGCTGGTGGTGCTCCTACTAAATAAATAAAAATGGATTCGCGCGACGAACCGAGGTACCTGGAATGTATATTTTGCGGAATTACTCCAAAGGAAAACTATCGCTTAAAAGCACTGGCACCAAAGCCCCCGAGCAACATGGCAGGGTGAATCGACGAGGCATTCGGCGATACGTGCTCAACCGCAGCCGGTGCACAGATTTCTACACGAGCACAGTACCGAAGGGCGGAAAAAAAGGACGTCCCACGATACACGCCGGGTAAGTCATTAGCCCGCCAAGGTCGCGCTATTCCTAGGCAAGGAACGCCTCTCTCGACGGATGCACGACAGTCTGGCTCGCTGGTATGCCGAGACTGGGCGGTCAAACGGGGCTACCGTCGCAGCCAAAGAAACAGCGGACGGCGAGCTTAAACAGTGGGTCCAGCAGTTTCTTTCGCACGAGAGGAACATTCCGCGGAGGACTCCGAATTAAACAACGAGCCTGCGTTAGCCTAATAGCGCTCCCGTGAAATAAAAAAGGGGTCACTGAGGAACAGCGGTACTGATGCGCAGTATCGAGACGACCGGAGTGGCACGTCGTGCACCGGCAACGTGCCCCCCATTTTCGGACGTTCGGCGGACGGATAACTTACCGCTCACAGATGCCGCACGTACGGAGTGTCGGCGAACTCTTGATGTAAACAAGCTACACCTACGGTGACGGGTCGTGCCGGCGGACGATGAGGGACGTTGGGTAGCGGCCAAGACACGCGTAGGGTTGCGACTGAAAAGAAAACAAACATACGAATGAGCGTGATGAAATGGCGCTGAGTCGATCGGGTTACTGAGAGGTTTCGGCTTTGGGACTTTTAAGTTTCGGTTTCGTAAGCGTTGTCTGGTTGTCTGGGTCTTTTATTCAGATTTCGGCTAAAAATATTCATGAACAAGCCATGTTCTCAGAAGAGAGATTTAGGATTAAAAATAATGCCATAGCTGCACCTTTTTTTAATAGAAAAATTACAAATTGGATTGCGTAAGTGTGACGTCATGAGTCATAACAAACCGTTGCTAGGGTCGTTGTTATGGACAAATACATATGGCTAGGTTTCGCTATGAAAGCCTGACCGTTCAAAAATCAGGAGTAGGATTTAAACTTCTAAAAATCACAGATATAGAAAGCTTGAATGCCATATATGTTTCAACAAAAGTATGCCGGTAATCGCTTGTTTCTGAAATATTTATGACTGCAACTTCCGGTACTCAAGATGCCTGCAGCAGACGACGAATGCAAGTAGTACGCCGTCTGCAACACGCCCGCCGGCCAAGCCGGTGCCGGCGTCTGAATCGTGTGAGTAAAGGTGATATTGATCTTGCATTTGTTTGAAATAGAATGAGTTTCAGACACTTATAAGAATTCATAGTGGGGTGCGAAACAAAATGTGGTTTATCGAAAGTTCGGGCGTCGATCGAGATGATCGTCTGCTAAAAGTGCATTGCACCCGTGAGAAAAGCACTTCAGGCGATGATTGAGATCTCACGTTTTGTTTACGGACTCGCGCTATGGGAGGGTGCTTTGTACCTGGTTGTAACCATCGCGTGGAGAAAGATACTTGCGGTTTCTCCAGATTTCCGCAAGACCCCTAAGCGCGAAAGAACTAAATAAACAAATAAATAAATAAGGTGAGTTTATTGCAGATTGAACTCACATCGCGGGTTCGATGGACGTCTTGATTTTATGGCACTTTCACCCCTCTGAACTAAGCTGCAGGTTCTTGACAGAAAAAAGCGCACATTGCGGTGGCCTCTACGGCCATGGCGTAGCACTTGTTTTTGTCGCCCGTTGTAACAGAGGCCAGCAAATCTATCATGTCGTCTGCTATCAAAGCAAAGCGGAGTGTAATACTTCAGAAATGGCTTTCATCGCTGCAATACGACACTGAGACGACAAGAACATCTTCATAATTAGATATCAAGAAGTCAGATTGTGTCACAAAAACCGGCCTGGTCCCGCCGGGCCTTGCGTATTGTAAAGGGCGCCCCGTCCGCTGCCTGCGGGGCCATGTGGTCGCCGCGGGTGGTGTGACACTTAGTGATGCAAAACTATCGATAAATTGACTATCGATACTATCGATAGTTTTTCCAAAACTATCGATAGTGTCTCAGAACTATCGATAGTCGACTATCGATAGTACTATCGATAGTTTTTCGATAGTCAAATATCGATAGTTTTTCGATAGTCGACTATCGATAGTACTATCGATAGTTTTTCGATAGTCAACTATATATAGTTTTTCGATAGTTTTTCGATAGTCGACTATCGATAGTACTATCGATAGTTTTTCGATAGTCGACTATCGATGGTTTTTTACTATACTGGCGACTAACGATACTATCGCTAGTGCTATCGATAGTCTTGCACCACTATAGTCCGTTACAACTCAAGAAGGTAGGGCGAGGGTAAGATGGGCCGGGAAGCAGGAAGCAGACGGAACGCTAAAGAGAGAAGGAGGTTTCCCCCTCTCTCCTCCAGCGGTTCTTCTGCTTCCTCCTCCCCGGCCCGTCTTGCCCTCGCCCTACCGCTCGCCTCCCCCTTCTTCTTTTTAGAACGCAGCTCTTAGGGGCCCGTTTCCAGCCTGAGCGGCGTCGGCGTCAGCGTCGGCGTCGGCGTAACCGGGGACCCGGTTACGCCGACGTAGCCGGGGACCACGTGACCCCCCCCGAGGTCACGTGACCCCCCCCCGAGATCACGTGACCCCCCCCCCCCCCGAGGTCACGTGACCCCCCCCCCCCCTTGAGATCACGTGACCCCCCTCCCCCCCGAGGTGACGTGACCCCCCCCTCCCTCGAGGTCACGTGACTACCCGCATGTGACGTGACCCCCCTCAGTACCCTTCCCTACTCCTCCTCAAGAGCTGCGCTCCAATTCGGCGTTACATGGATTTGTAAAAGGCTTTCATTTTTTCGCCCAAACCCCCATCGTCGTCATCACTGAAAGCTGAACCAAAGTTGGGATGGTAAGTGCCTGGGCTAGTTGGTGCCCCGTTTGAAAAAAAAAAAGTAAAGCGATAAATAGACAAGAGGGAGCGACGCAAACTACTAGTGTCGCAAAACTATCCATAGTAAACTGTCGACAGTACTATTGATAGGTTTACGATAGTCGACTATGGATAGTTTTCCGGTAGTCAATTAACGATAGTTTTTCGACAGTCGACTATCGATAGTACTATCGATAGTTTTTCGATAGTCGACTATCGATAGTACTATCGATAGTTTTTCGATAGTCGACTATCGATAGTACTATCGATAGTTTTTCAATAGTCGACTGTCGATAGTCGACTATCGATAGTTTTTTTACTATCGATAGTCAGATTTCTGGCGACTATCGATACTATCGATAGTAATATCGATAGTTTTGCACCACTAGTGACACTCCTTGGTTGGCGCTAGTTAGCACCTCGCCGGTCCCGATTGGGACCCTTACTTGACTTGTTTATGGCCTCTTCGACTCCCGTTCAGGGGAGGCTTTTGCCCGATGCTTGGGCGCGGTACCACTTCGTGGAATTCGGTAATGAGTTTGCCAGATGCCCCAGTTGAGCGTTTTTGGTGTTGACTTTGGAGCTTGGGGCAACGAATGTCTTCGCCGCTGTGACGGTCATTTTTTTTGTGTGTGTGTGTGAGTGTATTGCGATTGTAGGGGAGCGGGTGTGTTTTGTTTACTTTATTAAGAAAGAGCGCCATTCGGTTGAAATTGGGAAACGGCGCGGCAGTCGACTTGGGAGGTTCGAGAGCGCAACCCGCTCTTCCTGTCGGCTCCGGGCGTAGCCACGGGCACCGCGGTAAAGGGGAAGACCCGTCGGGACACTGAACGTCAGCTACTTCTGTGCTCCAACCCTATGCGGCCTTCCTCTGCCGGACTGCCCCAGTGCGTCGACCGTCCGTGACGCGACAGCGTCTAAAGCCAACAACCCCCGCCTCTGGCGCACCGCGGCCCCGTCCAGACAGAGCCCGTCGCAAGCGACCGACCTCAGGTGCGTCCACGCCTCTGCGAGCCTCGTCGTGCCGGACTGCGCCAAAGTGCGGTATCGTTCCCATTCCTCTTGTTGTGTACTCTCTGTCTTGCCAATACCTATTAAGTTTTTCTTGTATGCTTCCGCCTGATTGAGACTGTGTCTGTATTATCCTTTCACTTTGGTCACCATCTTACTATAGCCTTTATTAAATGTTTCTACTGCTTTGTTCGTCACGTGCCTTGTCTTTGTCCCCCCGTCCCTGGAGCCCACGTACTGTGGGATAGCGGGCGTCCGAACCCCCGTTGCGGTCTGCGGCGAGTTTCCCCTCTCGCTCCGCGCCGGACCGTGACATTTTGCTTACAAAAAGTCTTTACTTACTTGTAAGCAAAAACCTAGCCTCATGTGGAGTCTCCTTGCATTAAACCATAGCAACGCCCCTAGCAACGGTTTGTTTGGACCCTGACGCCATGTTGTGACGTAGTCACTTACGGAGTCAATGGTGCCTGGTACCAATTGCTGGAACCCGTTGCTGTATCCCTGGAACCTATGCCTTGAAAGCGTCTCCGACTTGTGTGTTTACCGCGTCCGAAAAATTGGTCCCTCAATTTCCGCCTGATGACGTCATACAAGTGTCATGCTGTCACCGGTCGCCATCCTGGCGATGTCCCAGCAGCGGTGGATGACCTGCAGCAGAACAGCCGAGGACCCTGTTCTGCTGCAGGTCGCACTCCAATGTGACAGTCCACGGAACATTCGGTAGCCAGAAGTTAGGACAACGCCTTGACGACAGCGACACTTGCGTTCGCGGAGCGTGCTTTCTGCCAGCATTTCCACGATTAACCGGCAGGATCGCGACACGCAACAGCATGACACTCCCGCTTTTGTGACGTCATTTGTTTCCACTCCAGGGCCACTTTTGTTGATAGGCTCTGTTGAGGAAAGAACCCGAGCGCGTCCGTTTCGTTGGTGGCCGTTTTATTCTCTCGTGCACCGATCGTCTTCTGTTCGTGGTCTCGTTCTTTCCTCTGTCTTCTCTTTCTTCTTTCTTCTGGTGGTTGAATTCCGGTAATCTACAACAACTTCCCGCGCCGGCCGAAGAAATGAGAGACAAGACAATACACGAGGGGTCAGTGACAGTATTGTGAAAACAAAATCACAAAAAAAGGGCGGGATCAAAAAAAGCCGTTAACACACAAGCAGAAGGAAAAGAAACGTTGTCGCAAGCCAATTAAATAGAGAGTAGGGGACGGACTCCGAGCTCCGTCTGGAAGCGGCACGGTCTGCGGGAACAAGTCCAGGTACGACAGCACCAGAGCGCTGGAGCTCACGTTGGGAGACGAGGCGCTCCGCCGACACACGGGCGCCACGCAGTCGACGTCGCAGTCCAGGTCGATGAGGGCGCCCTCGCAAGAGCGTTCCTCACCCTGCTCCTCGGGTATGGGTGTCGTGTCGTCTGCGCCCATCTGCAACCTAGTCGAGAGTGCCTGGTTGTTGGCGTAGACGGGACCCAAGTGGTGGTAGTCCCTCCGCCCCAGGGAGTGCCTCGGGGCCGGAACGGGTGTCGGGGGCGGCGGTGGTGGCAGGGATGGCGGCGGGGGCTGCCCGGGGGGCCAGCCGCCCCGCAACGATGCGACGGGGCCTGTCCCACGGCCGAGCAGCAGAACTCCCTCGCCGAGCCGCACCCCAGGCCCCGAGGCAGCGTTTGTTCCATCTCGGGCACACGATTTGGTCCCGAACTCTTGCGACGCACTGTCTTCCGTTCCCCGTCGGAGTGTCCCGAGAAGAGGTAGGTGATGGAGC